TCTGAGGTGAGGGTCACTGACATCAACCCGACGTCTGAGGTGAGGGTCGCTGACATCAACCCGACGTCTGAGGTGAGTCACTGACATCAATCCCGGATTTTACGAACCTTCTCAGTTTATTATAATGATTCATTTCTCTCGTTTTTGTGGTCGTATTTACATATATATTTGTGCACTGAGTTATCTTCATCAACTTTGTCTAACTCAGTCTCTAAGTTAAAATTTTTTGGTCCCGCCTTTCAACTGTCAATCAGCTGACGTATAGGTTTCTAAGCTACTGGGCTCTATCATATCTACACTTGAAACTGTGTAGGGAGTCAGCCTCCACCCATCACTTCCTAATGCATTCTATTTATTAGTTACCCTGACACAGGAAAAAAAAGATTATAATGTCTCTGTGGCTCATTTGGGTACTCAGTTTCCACCCGTGTCCCCTTGTTCGTGTTCCACCCATGCTAAATACTTTGTCTTTGTCCACACCTGTCAATTCCGCTGAGATTTTTGTAGGTGGTGATCATGTCTCCCCATACTCTTCTGTCTTCCAGGGACGTGAGGTTTAGTTCCCGTGGCCTTTCCTCGTAGTTCATACCTCTCAGTTCTGGGACTAGTCTAGTGGCATACCTCTGAATCTTTTCTAACTTTGTCTTGTGTTTAACCAGGTATGGACTCCATGTGTGTGTATTCACCTAGTTGTATTCACCTAGCTACTCTTTCGGCCCGCCTCTCAACTGTCAATCAACCAACTGTTACTAACTACTAACTAATTTTTTTTTTCACACACACATACACACACACACACACTCACACTCACACTCACACACACACACACACACACACACACACACACACACACACACACACACACACACACACACACACACACACACTCACACACACACATACACACACATACACACATACACATATACACATATAACATATACATATACACTACACACACACACACACACACACACACCACACACAACACACACACACACACCACACACACACACACAAACACACAACACACACACACTCTCCCAGTTCCTATTTACTGCTAGGCAACATGAGCATCAGGGTGAAGGGAAACTCTGCCCATTTGGTTTTTCAGCAGTGCTAGGGATCGAACCCTGGTCCTAGGTCCACGAGTCTAGAGCGCTGTCCACTCAGCCACCAGCCCCCCTTTACCTGTATGTGTGTGGTGTGTGTGTGGGTGTGTGTGTGTGGTGTGTGTGTGTGTGTGTGTGTGTGTGTGTGTGTGTGTGTGTGTGTGTGTGGGTGTGCGCGTGCTCTTCCTTCTGCTGCTCGCTCTCACGTCAAAACAACCCATTCATGGCTACGTCATCGTCGTCGTTAAGTCTACGTCGGATTAGACGTGTCCTTCTCGCGTCTCCCAATACAACAATGCAACCATAATGCTACCCAAATACACACACTACAACACGACACAGCACAATACAATGCAAAACATCAGCATGCGCTTTAATGGAATGCAAGAGAATTCAACACAACGCATCATAATACAATGGAATACATGAAGCATACAGCTGCGTCATTGGACGGTTCCGCAAGCCAAGGTATTGTTGTTCGGAGAGTACGACATCCACCTGGAATATTAAATGGAACACAATGCTATTATCTCTCTCAATTAGTTTAATAAGTAACAAAACAGGGCGAGGGAGAGAGGGAGGAAGGGGAGAGAAGTGGACAAACAGGAATGAAGGGATAGCGCAGAGAGAAAGAAAGAGAGAGAACAAAAGAGATTGAGCAACATTTCTCAAATAGACAGTGATCTGCCACCATATCACATTCACCACTGGTTAGACTGAGTGTGTCTTCTGATAATCTTCTCCCCCACACACCCCACCTCAAGCCCTCCCCCACACACCCACCCCCACACACCCCAGAGCGACGACTCCCCCTCTCCCTTCTCCCTCTCCCACCACCCACTGCAAGGCTCATTACTTCATGACGTGCACCAAAAACAAGTCGACATTAACAACTACAGAAACAAAGACAGCTGATCTTGGTAGTTTCTCTTCCTCACCTATTTTTTTCTCATCTTCTCCTCCGACTTTTATTTATTACCCATTCTACAATCTTTTTTTCCCCCACCGGATCGGATTCTAGGAGCTAATCTTGGCCCTTCTGAGAGGCAGTTGTTGGCGGGTCTGCTG